AAACTTGAGTGTGGTCCCCAAGAAATCAACTCCAGGGAAATTCGCCTTCATTTGACATTTTCAGCGAATTGGAATTAGCGCTACAAAGTTTGAAAAAACGCGAAAATGAATTCATTTTAAAAGTGACGTTTTCGCTGCTATCGCCGTCGTAGATGCTAAAACTCCCTTATAACATTAAAACAAGGTGGCCGTTTGACGGGGTTGGACCGTCCTGAATTACGTAATCATTACTTGTAAATATCTCTTTTATTTTCTAAACTTGCTTTTAGTTTAGCATACGGCGTTTTCCAAGACATTTTCTGGCGTCTAAAAACTAAGCACCCGGAAAAGGTGGTCGTCAGCTGTCCTGACGTTATGTTCTATAAATATTCACGTGAGATCCCGGATGAAAACTATGTCGACTTGACTAGAAAATGGGACGTGAAGAAATGGGTCGAGTCTAGTGGCAGAGTCCGCTGGTATGGATGCAGGCATGGCTATTCTCATACTAGCCCAGGCAATTGCGACAGTTTTCAATCGGGAATGGCAGTGCCCCCATGTGATTTGGAAAATCTCGCGGATGCAGTCAAGTTCGTCATGAAAGAGTGCGAGAACGCAGGGTTGTTGTGCGAGTTAACAGATGGAACTTTGACCGGTAAGTTAGTATTTCAGCGTTTCTTCCCGCCTTCTCAAATTTAAAGGGGACTGTTTAAAAATCGGATACAGTAAAAAGCCGCGAGTTAAAACCTGGTTTTTAAGGACCTGTCAGGCTTAAATTTCCTAGTCAGCCCTCCTCTATATAAGAACTCGTTTAGCCTTAAATGTGAAACAGGTCCTTATTTCTGTACACTTTGGCAAATGAGATAAGTCAACATTCATGATCCCCTTTGGAGACATATTGTAGGTGCCTTATCATTCTAACTGCAATGTAAATGCCAGTAGTGAAATTCAAATAAAATGTTATTGATTTTATCAAGGACTAAGCTGAATACCACTCAATAATGTTATCAACAATGTATTTCTCTTCTTCACAAAGAAGGGCCTAATCAGAGAACCTAAATAGCCTAAATTTGTGCTAATTACCATTTATATGTAAGAATCTATTTAGGCTGACTTGGGAAAATGCTGGTTCTTACTCGTAGATTTTTACTGTAATCCTCAATTATGGTGTAAGGTCTTCGGATCGCCTATCATCGCGAAACTTTTACCCTCTTCCGCTACATACAGTATTCGGATCGGCTTTTTGCAGATCACAATGTTTTGCGCCAAAATGACGTCACACTCTCCTTAATAAAGATGGCCACCCGGTCCCGGGTAGCACTAGAAAATCCATACATACAAAACTTAAGGTGACTCGACCCAGTTTTTTTGGGGGGGGGTACCATCCTACTTTGAAGCTCTCTGGTATTCCCGTCTTTACTTTTAATTTATCGTAAGTCTAACACATAGAATGGATAACATATAGATCAATCTACAATATAACATAAAATTTTTGGCGATCGGAATAAATGTCACGTGGTTATAATGCCACGCCCCTTTGAGGTCTGAGTCGAAAATCCGCTGCTGCCGGCATTTTTTCGTAAAATTCTCTCGGCTACACATAGTGCGCATTAGTGCCTTGCGCTGAACAGAGTTTCACCAAAATCGCAAAGACCCAATTCGAGAAATTCAGCGGTTTCCAAATTCATAAGTTATGCGAAAATGATAAGCAAACTTTACACGCATTATATCTAATAAACTATGAGATTCATCCCTTTATTTTGGGCATCGTTGTAACAGATGGGTCCTTGCAAGTCAGCAAAACGCTTTAGGGCCTTGTAAATGCGCGCGATTTCGAGCAAAGCAAACNACTTTATAATAAACTTGAAATAGATGGTTGGAGAACAAGTAAACCCAGTAATAAGTGTCATCATCGACAACAACAATAACGACAATAATAATAATAAGTGTTCACATCAACTTCTGGCTTCAAGATCTTTCTAGGAAAGTACAACTCTTTATATGTGGACGACCTCGATAGAGAGAAAGTGTCTACGCCTATGACAGGGAGAGTCGTTTAAAATGGGAGTTTGTATTGGAATTTCATTCAATTGATTGTTAGTAAAAGTAATTAAAGGTGTCCTTCAGGCGAAACGTGATCGTATAAGCAAACTATTTTTAAAGTTTTACTACTAGCACAGGAAACTAGAAAACCTATGATCTCGTCACCTGCGAGGTATTACTTGAGAAATATACAGAGATATTACTTGATTTGTATTTATTACCATGAATAAGCTATACTGTATTTCATAAAACCAAATGAAAATCACAAACTCAGAGTACAACCCGGTGCCACAATCATTGTCATCATCATTATTGTCACTATTATTTTCGCACTAAAATGTTCTTTAAAACATTGCATATCACGTCATTGTGCCACGATGACCACTACTAATGAATTTTGTGGAAATTTCGAAACGCTGGAACCTACATGAAACGGCATCATTGTGATAAATACACAAAACCAGTGTTAGATCTGGATATAGTTAAAGGCTACGTGCTGTGTACAGTTGAACATTGTTCTCTGAGATCGCGTAAACCTAAACTTTACGGAGATATTAAAAGCAGATACCCTAAGATTACAGCAGCTATGGAAAAATTATTATATTTTTGAGTAGACAAATCCCATAAACGGGTCACAAATTCAACAGGAATACGCGCAAACTGCACAAATTGTCTGTTGTACATTTTAAAGGTTCTTCTCAACTTACACAATTTTCCCTTGCTGAACATAAACTGTACCGAGCCGTATCTTGGTCCGCTATATATAAGCTATATCATGGTTCAAATATTAAACTGTAAGATCCCTGAAAGAGTTCTCCTCAATGGAGCAATATGTAAAAGGTTTTCAATGGTTACACGCCGGTGAAGATGTGCAGCCTGTCACCTCTTGCAAGTTTTTACTTTATTATTATTATTATTATTATTATTATTGTCGTTGTTGTTGTCGTCGATGGTGACACTGATTACTGGGTTTACTTGTCCTCCGACCATCTATTTCGAGTTTATTACAAAGTGCGACAAGTGTTATTACAAAGTGCGACAGCTTTTTTTATTACAAAGTGCGATGGTCTGTTATTACAAAGTGCGACAGCTTTTTTATTACAAAGTGCGACAAGTGTTATTACAAAGTGTGACAGGTATTACAAAGTGTGACAGTTTTATTACAAAGTGCGACAGGTATTACAAAGTGCGACGGTTATTACAAAGTGCGACAGTACACACGCCTGCAATGACCGCGCTTGGCTGACTTCCGAATGCTCATCGAGATATGATAATTTCGGTACAGTGAGACAGGCCATGGTGGTGAATGGCAAATTCAGTTAACGATTTTCATTTCAGGTGCAGTCAAATTCAACAAAGTGTTACCATGGGAACGTGACGCAGACATTACCTTCTTGTCAGCCAATTACTCTGCATTCAAGCAACTCGAATCCAAATTTACAGCGGCCGGTTTCAGAGTTGAAAGCAATGACAAGGCACTGAAATGTTGCGTGGACGGGAGACAGTCAGGGGGGACATTTGACTTGTTTACAACCCACTGGAAACTAGAACTGTGGGGTCAATACAAGGTGGACTCAGAAGATCTTATAGCGAGTGGTTTGAAGCCTACTAAAATACAGTTTGCCGGGCAATGGGTCAATGTTAATCGTAATCCGGGACTTTTCGTCCGTAACCGTTATGGGTTTAACGTTTACCAACATGCCGAGCACTGGAGTGACCTGGGAAGAAAATCTTCGTGGGAATTTTACCGGCCAAATCTGTACAGGAAATGCCCTCGACCGGGACACTCGGCTTGCCTCGACCAGTATCTGGTCGACGGCAATCTTCAATTCAGTGACTACCCCCAAATCTGAGTAGCTGCCTGATATTGTAAGTCGAGAGTTATACTACTTTCCGTAGAGGAATAAATTTCAACCTACACTAGAGATGTTTGTTTTTTGTTTTCTCACTCAGAGGAACAAAAGCTGTGACTTTTAGCGTTGTTTAGTTAGAACCAAGTACCAGTAATAAATAAATAAATAAATAAATAAACGAATAAGTAAATAAATAAGTAAATGAATAAATAAATAAGCTAAAAAATGAATAAGTAAATAAATATAGGAATGGTTCTTATGTTACAACAATTAACCCCAACTTCGACCTTTCGGCTTGTTCAATTAACTTTGGCTTTGGCAAAACGGCAGGAAAATACGCTGAATACCTTTTAGGAAAATTACATACGGCAGTGATACCTTGTATATATATATGTCTCAAGGTTTATTTTTCCTCTCTTTTTTTCACCTACCAACTCTTAAATAGGGTGGTTGCAATGTAAAAACATCGATTCATCATATTTGTCAGTGTCTACGTACTTTGTAATTGTTTCGGTTGCAATTTTTAATAGAAATCAACACGTGAGGACAATTGTCCACTACAGAAAATACCATAACATACCATAATACTCTTTGTTAGTCACTCCAAAATTTTGCATAAGCATTGTTTTCAGTTTCTAACTATTTTCTGTAGTGGTCAATAGCCCACGTTCGATATACTAAAATTCTAACATGACTTCGAGGCTTTCTGGTCATTTTTCTATATTTGGTTTGGCATTCTTTGCGCTCAAATCTCTTCTGGGAATTGCGAGACAATGGAGTGGTAGAAAATTTGCAATTTTGACCCTAAAGCCTCGGAGTCACGTTAGAATTTTAATATATCAAACGTGGGCTATTACCATTGATTTTTAAGATATTCCAGATACTGTGATAGACTCGACCTTGAATGACCTTACCGATACATAAAATTTTAAATTCACCCAATCATAGCTCGTACAATTTGGTACAAAAATTAGAGAGTAAGGAGTTTGACAGAATCAAGCATAGAATTTTTCTAGATAAGCCACAGGATATTGGTGCTTCAACATCAGCTCTTAGATGGTTCACTAGCCTTTTGTCTAAGAGGAGCCAGGTTGTGGGTTGATTCCACACTCTCGGATGCGTTCCCATTGGCCAGCGGTATCCCGCAAGGAAGTATTTTTGGGCCGTTGCTTCTCCTGCTTTTTACCATCTGTGTGAACGATCTATCGACTGTACCCAAAAACTGTCCATCTGACTGTTATACTGATGATACTAAATTGTACATGTCATTTGGTGTACACGATTGCAAGAACGTTAACGCCGTCGCTGCTATGAATGAAGATCTATTAAGATTACGCTACTGGTGCTTTGGCAACCGTTTGTTAATAAACAAAGAAAAGACCAAACTAATCATATATGGCAGCAGACAGATGACAGAAAGACTCCCACAATTTCACTATATGGAATAATTTACCATCTGAAATTAAGCTTAGCAGATGTTTAAATAGTTTTAAGCGCAATTTAGGAAAATTTCTTAAGAAAGACTTTTTACGATTAGTTACGAATGGGTCATCCTGTCGCCAATGTTAGCTAGTTTTTAACTACTTAAATTAATTATGATAAATCTTATTTTTCAATATTTATAAATATACTATATAGTTTTTAAATGTTATCTGTTAATTATTGTCTCTGAAAAACCGTTATGGGGACATGACAATAAAGTATTGTGTTGTATTGTATCGTATTGTATCCTAGGAATTCAACTCGAGGGGGATTCTCCTACTTTTGATAAAGTAAATGGGTAGGAATAGTGACGATAAAGTCTGGAAGAACATTAATTCACTTTTTAAGCGACGTTTTCGCTGCCATTGCGTAGTCGGATCGTAAAGTCCCTACTTGAAAACGAGGCCACGCAAAAAGAAGTGCTTTTATGGGGAGAAATTAGCCTGAGAAAACAGCCTACATTTCGCGACGCCAACTGGATTCCCCCAGAAATGAGAAACGAACGCAGAAATTCCATACTGTGTCACTGTCCAGTTCTGGGTAGTGCTTATTTTTCTGACTGGTTGTGCCGCTTACGAAAATTGCTTCAACCAATCAGAAGCACTACTCACGTCTGGATACTGTAGTGACGCGTCATGAGTTCGAATCTTGAAAATGAAGAAATGATCGTCGCAGTGAACGCAATTTATGCAATTGCGTAAACAAGCCTGAAAAAAATTAAGGACTTCAACAGGGTTGGAACCCGTGATCTCGCGATTTACCGGTGCGATGCTCTACCAACTGAGCTATGAAGCCTCNAAGCACTACTCACGTCTGGATACTGTAGTGACGCGTCATGAGTTCGAATCTTGAAAATGAAGAAATGATCGTCGCAGTGAACGCAATTTATGCAATTGCGTAAACAAGCCTGAAAAAAATTAAGGACTTCAACAGGGTTGGAACCCGTGATCTCGCGATTTACCGGTGCGATGCTCTACCAACTGAGCTATGAAGCCTCTGATGTTGGGAGCAGGTCAATTGTGGGTTCAAATCGAATGTTCGCGATCGTTTCTCATACGTCATTTCCCGAAGAAACCATTGGTGGCTTCGCGAAATGTCTGCTATTTTCTTAGGCTAGGGAGGAATTAGAACCTATAATTATACACAATCGCGATCAGCCGCTCGCAGAAAATTTTTTAACACGCCTCTTCACCCAGTTTTGTCTACACTCGATATCGATCATGAATTAGAGGGCATAGCCGACAAAACATGTGGGAATAAGGCTTTTTTTGATTACTCTGTTCACCAGTCCTTGTGTTTAAAATGAAAACAATTCAGCCAACAAAGGGACAAGCTACATGCAAACGGACGCAACAACTCCCAACATTGTTGGGCCGTTTGCACGTAGCTAAAAGTTTGACCGGGTTTAAACTTTGCGCAAAAACTCCCAACAACATGCAACAGGGTGTGCAAACGGCCGGATTAAAAAATGTAACATCCGACAATGTTGAGAAGTGATTGCCAACAATGTTGCGTCCGTTTGCACGGGGCTGTAGAAAAAGTCACAAAAAAAAAATCGTGTAAGAACCAGCCTGAGCGGTTAGCTTCGAAGGAGTCTAGGTGTAAATATACACCTCCCAGGTCTTGCTTGCTGATATCTCTAAATCGTTTAATGCTACCATTTATATGACCAGCAGTAAAATAAGCTTCTTTTTTTCTTCAATAAGTTTCCTTTTTTTCATCGTTTGAGGCATACGGCACACTTTTCCTGCAATTTTTAGTGTGTGCCTTTTTCAAGAGGATTTCACGTCGCGTAAAATGCGAGTGACTGAAAACTGTATTTTTTAATCATCGAAGGATACAGTAAGAACCGTATGCTTTAAATTAATGGGAGTGAGATCAACGTAATTTCAGAGAACAGAAATCCGTCGATTGCCTTATATTATGAGCACAGTCATGGTGAATACTCACCTTTGCTGGACAGCATGCAGCGTCGAGTATCCAGTCAACTTGGGGACTCAAATACAACACGCGATGATTATCAACGGGAAACGGAAAACGGCAGGAAGCTAGCTGTTTGCCGTAAAAATCTAGTGTGGTGTTTAACCTCTCTGATAACCTAAGACGCTGATCACGTATTCGTGAGGCGGGATGGCTTGATTTATCGAGATCTAGAAAGTCAATTAAACGCAACAAAAAAAATTACTTCGTGATTACATTACAACAGATCCAGCCGGTTAGTGGGATCCCAGTATCGTGATTCCGGTATCCCAACAAACCCGGCTGGAAATTTTCCATGCAATCACGCTCACCAGTCCAGCCCCGCGGAAGAAAAAAAACAACAACGGGACAGCTGGCAACACTCTACTCATGAGCAGTGTGTGATGACAGCTTGGGGCTAGGGAACCCTTCCCATCGATCCCTGAGCGTTTTCTTGTGCCCTCTCCCCAGTCCCCTCTTAGCATTACAATGAAGACCTGGTCCTTTGCGGAGGGGAGGGTTGCTCAACCTGAGTCAGTACGTTGATCGCAAAAGTGTCTTCATTTTTTTCTCTCAGTACGAGTTCGATCAATGAAGTGGAGGGTGCTGTAAGACAGACAGACGATACATGATACCAAGAAACTAGGAAAGTTTGGCGTTTTGGACATCTTGGTTCTTTACAGTAATTTCTATAATGGGTGTTAAAAGTCGAAAGAAGACTTGTAGCTTGCATGCATACATCTGCTATTCAGTCGATCGAGCGAACAGCAAAGGTCACAGTCGAGAACTTTTCTAAGTCACCATATTGTGACGTCACTGTATTGTTTAGTTAGTGGCTGCCGATATAAAAGGTCTGAGAGGGGTGGTAGCTTTGACTGTTGACAGTTATTTTTTTTTCCAATTTTGACGGTTGTTTGGTAGAAATTTACGCCAAGAGTTAAAGAAAATGTTTAACTTCTGTATAAATTAATATCAACTGTTGTGTTTTGAAAGTTGCCTTAGCCTTTTACGTATGAAATTTCCAAATATTTTCAGATACAAGTTGTAAGGTCTTCTAACATCTAGCGAAAGTGTTTTTGAGAACATAGGAACTGGTTTTTCCAGTTAAGAGATTCCTCAGGAGCCAAACGTCCGTGAAAATCAGCTGAAATATATAGCGAGCTTTGAAATACCTTAAAACGTTTTGTCGGTTGACGGTAAAAAATAAACTTTTTTGGCAGTTGACGGTTAAACACTTTAGTCCGTTTGACGGCTAACGGTTAGCCTCATTGACGCCCTCTCTATATACAGCTTGGACCCTTCAGCACCTGAAGTCAAGTCCACATTCAATATTGGTGTCCTAAACCAATAAAACGGTGGCTTTGTTGATGTTCCAAACCACTCTTTTTTTCTCTTGTTTACACCTTCTTTTGTTGTAATAAATTTGCCTGGCTACTGGCCACGTAAGTAAAAACGCTCTATTGAGGTTCAAGTCGATCGGTTGAGACAAAAGATTTTGCGCCCCCCAATCGACCTCTGGTGTCCCCTTTACAAGAAAAACCAAAGAAACAAGCACGCAAGTTTTTCTAACGATTTCCACCATACTTTATTGTTAAGAGATAAATCAACTAAAATTCCACCAAAAATACAATTACACCATAGCCGGACACATAAACCCCAATTTAATTAGGAAAAGTGGGGACCGTGTACCCCCCGCCCCCCTTGCACCCACTGACCAGTGCTACGGTGAGGCCTTTGGGGTTTTAAGGCCTGCTACTGTGTATAAAGGCAAGAAAAAAGCTAAGGTAACTAAATGAATATATCAGCTAGGCTGAAAGTAAAAAGAAAACGAAAAGAAAAAAATAGCGGAGTCGGAGAAAATAGTCGGCGAGGCTGACTCTAGAATTAAGCGCGATTTGAATATCTGCCGCTGTTTTAAAGCGCTTGAGTAGTAATGTCAAAGCGCTCTCGCTTGCAATATAGTTGTTACATTATGTTTATTGGATTAATGTAAAGGATGAATGCTATGATTCCCTGTCTTTCACTTAGCAGATGTGCTTTATAAAGTTCTTTTTTTGCAGAAAATTCAGATCAAGCAAAACATTTTGCTCGGAACCTCTGAAAATCTTCAAGCATTAGAACGTTAATGCAGTTTATGTTACATGAAATCAGCGTTTGTGGCATTATTTAAAAAGAATTCAGAAGTTCCAAGTAACACTCTAATTTTCCTAGCCGAATTGATAAATTCAACGTTACACGCACTGCACGCAAAAACGTCTTCCATTTGTAAAATAGCTTTCGATCCTTCCTTTACACATAATGGCTCCCACATTTTCCATATAATCAAATCATCATTAGTACTTCTAACTAAATATAATTACTATATAGTCAACGCACGTAATTGTGTAAAAGACACCACATTCACAACACAGTGTTTTTTTGTTTTATTTTCATTGGTGTTATTACAACAAGTATTTTGTAAGATACCTGCAAATCAAATCGTCATTAGTACTCATAACTAATTACTCTAGTATTTAAAGAAATCACAAAGACATCGCATCAGGTAAAGTGTTTTTATTGAATTGAGTTAGCCGTTTACGGAAATTAAGTAATCTATATGGGGTGCGATCCTACATGAATTTGGCGTCCGAGCAAGACCGAGGAGTGTGACATGTGTCCATAAACCTTGACACCTCGAATGAATCACACCAGGGTTCCCCGAACGATACGCAAGGAAGTTAGGCGGCTTGCTATCGAACACCTTTGATACCTAGCCTTCACATTTTTCGAAGCCGAATCCGGAATCATATCGCTAGTCGAATCGAAAACCGGAAAAAAGAGGAATGGGCCGAACCGAAAATCTAATCGCCTAACAAACAAACAAAAATCCACACGCCCAAGTTGTGTCATTATTGCTTGGGCTTATTGATGCGGTGCAAGGTTTGCGTTAGCTACGAACCTTCTTACAATAATAAGGGTGTAATTCAATTTGCCGCACGCTATTTCAGATAAAACGAGTCTGCATGGCGCAAACTTTGTACCAACATTAATCAGCCCTACCTTATATGGGCTGCTGTGCACTGTCGTCAGGTTCCCCCAAGGATACTGGGACCAACAATCCAATAGACCAAGGCGTAGATATGTATCTGAGTCCACGACGTTGTTGTTGTTGTAGATGACTTGGAGTTGCTGCAATAAAGATGAAGTCCGGCCGGCCAATTAAAATTAGAATATTAAATATTAGTAGCTGTCTCAACTAACATTGTACTATGCAACGAAAGCAACAACAACTGCCGAACATGGGATTCGAGTTTAGTTGAAATTAAACTCCTGCGCGGAAAACTTTTCAAATTTTCCTTGTCAAATTGCTAAAATGTAAGGAAAAATAATAAAATTCGTTTAATTTTTTTTTTTAAATTTGTTCCCACATGGAAGGAGGAGGAAATTTAGAGCCTTAATAATGAAATCTCAACGTTAGTCAAGATAGCTCTTTAAATTTATTACTCTATGCTGTCTCCTCTGTCTTTACCTTGCCTTCCTAATCATGAAGTCGTTTTCACTGTCGTCTGCTTCAGTTTTAATAGAAGCAAAATGACGTCTTAGTGTAAACTATCATCATCATCAGGGTAGTCATCATCATCATCATCATCATCATCATCATCATCACTATCGTCGCTGTTCAGTTTGGTCCGACGTGATTCTTCTTCTCGTTCATAGCTGCAAAGGAAGCTAAATCGCCTACTTAGGTAACTGGCCTACTGGACTATCTTTCTATGGCTCGCGAGGTTCTTTGCTCTTCTTCTTCGGCCGGCCTCTTCTCTTGGTGTAGCACTGGACCCACAATACAATATGAAACAATGTGATAAGACACATTTTATTCACATTTCCATTTTTTTGTTACACGATTCAGAAATACGTTGAAGAAGCAATGCGCTGCATAGGAGGTCCCAGCGATGACGTACTTCAAGAGTTTTTGAGGTAGAACAATGTTGACGATGTCTGGAGGACGAAGAAACCAATATAGCCACACACTGTCGACGTGAAGACTACGTACGCCTACCATTTGTAGACGATCTGTGCCTGCGTTGTGCAATGCAGGACTTCCTAAGAAGAAAACCCTCCAGCAAGGCAAAATTAACTGAAAGACTGACAAATCAAATCGTCTTANATAGGAGGTCCCAGCGATGACGTACTTCAAGAGGTTTGGAGGTAGGACAATGCTGACGATGTCTGGAGGACGAAGAAACCAATATAGCCACACACTGTGGACGTGAAGACTACGTACGCCTACCATTTGTAGACGATCTGTGCCTGCGTTGTGCAATGCAGGACTTCCTAAGAAGAAAACCCTCCAGCAAGGCAAAATTAACTGAAAGACTGACAAATCAAATCGTCTTAATGTCCACGATGTCATATCTAGAGTGATCTCTCCTGCTACTTATTGAAGGACTATCTATAACCAGCGAGGTTTTCACCGGAATGCCATTCAGGGGCACGCATATCAAGGTATGGTGGGCCTCCATATGTGTGTCTCCGAAATATTCGGTCTTATAGCATTCTCGTGATTACTTCGCAGGATAATATCTTGTTCGTGCTCCTCCAGCGATGAAACTGCGTCGTAGATTGGTCTCGAAGACTTCTTACGCTTACGATTTGTAAACGATCTAGCCTATGGTGTGTGGATTATCCCATGTTACCCCAGTAACCTGCAACAAGGTGTTGACTCTTCGCGGGAAGAAACGCCTGGTCGCAGATTACCTTTGTTGTACGACTAAACCTGTTTCCTGATCTACCATTACAAATTCAAGGTCTGCAAATACGCTTCAAAAAATTTCGCTTCACACTTGCACTGTTCAACATCAAAAGCCAAATTTGTAGGGGCAGACCCGAATTTGCGAGGCTGTACTAACTATCTACGAGTAACCAGAGAGACCACTAAGCTTGTAAGCAGTGACTAAATGAGGTCCTCTCACAGTACAGCTTAATGACCTTTATAGTTTACTGAAGTTGTCTTATAATAATCACTGTCTGGTTGAACCTTGCGGATGAAAGCTTCACTTGCCCAGCGCATAGACTATCAGGTGAAGTGTGATAGATATATTCAAATTTGGCGCAACTAAGCGGGAGGTTGAAGTCAAGACGATGACGACGACGACAAAGGCGGCGGTGGCGAAGTCCATCTGAAAAAGGCGTAAAAAGATGCAGCCGAACCGTTTTCTAGAAGCCAGATCGAATCCAAAAAGCCGAACCATTTGCTTAAAGCCGAACTCTTATTGCCAACCGAACACCTGCAAAGAAACCCATCTTATGAGAAAGGGAAGGGGAGGCCCTTACCAGCCCAGGGAACTCCACTAGCTAATCTAACTACAATTAAGTTAAGCCGAAAAAAAGTCCCGAAACTTCAGGCCGAACGTGAGTGGAAAGTATGCTTTGCAAGGTTCATCCAGAGCTTTATATACCCTCCCTTGACCCAACCCATAAAGAATGCACCTGACCTGTACCATTTCAAGAAGTTGGGTATGCTGTGCTGATTGGAAGCTGAGTAGTCAAATATGGTGTCCTGTGGTCTGGTGGGGTGATCTGATCTGGTAGTCTGGATTGTCGTTGGTGATGCGATCTGATGATCTGATTTGGCGGTCGGGTCGTGACGATGGTCTTTTGTGGTATTCGGATGTGGTGGTCTGATCTAGGTTCTGATCTGATTGTCTGGTGTGGTGGTCTGATCGACTGCTTTCATGGTCTAATCTGGAGGTGTGCCTGAGGAAGATGGTCTGGTCTGACGGCTGAAAATTGAAAGACAAGAAGCTGAGTTAATAGTAGTAAAACATGGCTCAATTCAGTTTCAGACAGCTAAGTAAAAGATAAACAGAGAAACAATTCGGAAATACTTTATTTTTAAATTCATTTGCAACTTTGAAAAGCCTGCGGTTTTAAACCTAAAAAGGTTAGCAAAACCCAAGAAAATATATCCAGTGACAATTGCTGCGACTCTTTTAATTCCGATGTCAAACATCTTGGTAACCACACAGACTCTGTCGCAATCTATCTAAGCGAGATATTACAGAGAGGTCGAGCGGAATGTAGTTATACCATACGAGGTGTGGTTCTGACGACCATCTTTGCCAATCTTTTCCATTCCTAATAAGTCTCATTAATTTGCAATGTTCAACATCACATAGTTACCATTCAGGTTCTATCGCAATCTATTTACGCGAGAGGTCCCGCGTGATGTAGTTATATCAGTTGTGGTGTGGCTCTGATGACGATCTTTGCCAATCTTTTCCATTTCTAATAAGTATCATTAATTTGCAATGTTCAACATCATAGTAACAATACAGCCTCTATCGCAATCTATTCACCCGAGAGTTAACGCGAGAGATCTCGAGCGATGAAGTTACATCATGGATGTGTCTCTGGTGACGATCTTTGCGAATCTTTTCCATTCATAACAAGTATCGAAAACTGCAATCTTCAACATCATAGTAAGAAATTAAAGCTGTTAATTACCTCAATAAATTTCAGTTATTCGAACCTGTTTAATAAAGGCAAATACCGAGTAGCAGTTTACAAAAAAGTTGTTCGAAATTGCCCCATCAACACTTTGACAAGCACGGCCTCTTTCATCTTTATTCTGTTAAATATAAACTGCTTTTTAAATAAATAAATAAACATCTTTTGCAATTTACTTCGAGGCTTTTCGTAGTACTGAGGTCAGTTCCATCTCTATTTAAAGGTGCGGTAGCCTAATTTTGTGATGTTATCTCCGTCAAAATCTCGCTGTTGTACACAGAGAAAAAAAATAAATCAAATTTGTCGATACTGCAAATTTTTTTCTTAATAACCAAAATAATGGAAAAAAAGAAAGACGTAATTTGCTGGGCCACTTTATCTAACATTGAGGTCTCCACTAAGTTTTGCGTGTATTTTTAATTGGTAACAGCCACGTGTACGACCATGTACTACGGAGGGCTTTCCAAATCATGGTCTAATTTTGCTTGAGCATTGGTTTACATTTCTACTTGCTTTTTCTCCTCTGAGAAAAGAAGAAACTTTAAAACAAGAATATTCGACAACGAAATGACTTAATTTTAAAGTTTGACTTGACGGAATACATATGTGACTATAACTTCGGTTAACAAGTTATTTACCTCAGGCGCTGGTTTTAACATCTCAGAATGTTTCCACAGTTAGCTTTCTTGTAGTGATGCTGGGAAAGACGGATTGTCAGTTTATGCGAGAGTGTCTTGTTTCTCTTTCATGATCCATGAGCAACTTTCGTCAGCTTTCTCAACCAAAGCTACACTACTTTTGAATGTGGGAAGGAGCAACGTTCTGATTTGAATAATTATTTCTGATTGAATTTTCTTACTGCACGTGCCTATGTAGCAAGGTACCAAGAACAAGAGTTGTTTACCACATACACCATAGGGAATTTGGAACTTATAAGGTTAATTAACATTTCCAAAGACCTTGGGCGATTGAACTATTTCTAAGGCAGAAAAACCGGCTTTCTGAGGATGCCTATATACCCAGCCAGGACCCGAGCCAGGAACTCGAGCCAGGAACTCGAGCCAGGACTTCGAGCTAGGACTCGACGCAGGACTCGACAATTTCTCGCTTTCCCGCCATTTTCACCTCCTGCAAGTCGCATAACCATTAAGAGGAGGGTTTTCGTGGCAATCATGGAAGTTAAGCTTGTGTTAGGGTCAGGGTTAGGGTTATTGGTTAGGGTTTTATGGTTAGGAGGTTACGAGTTAGGTTACGAGTCCTTTTTGTTACTTTTATTTTATTTTTGTTTTGTTTATTGGTTATTTTTATTATATTTTTTTTGCTTACGGTAACACAACACGAGTCCTGGCTTTGATGTTAGTTTAAAAAATCGGTTGTTAAATTTGGAGAGAAAGGAAAACGTCAAGGAAAAACTAGCAAAGTCGTGAAATCTTGCTCCTATAACAGACTAGCTCGTACCCAGTCGCGACTGGGTACGAGTCTGCTCCCGTGAACGAAAAAGGATTGCTTTAATTACACAAAAAAATTGTAAAGCCTGAATCCTCTTTTACAGGATTATGCCCTTTTATTAACAAATGCAGCTCAACTATAAAACTGTACCCAGATTTTTTTTTAATGTTTTATTATCAATACGAGAAGTCTTAAAAGTGAACGCATTGATTCAACGGAGACAACTATTAGCTAACCACACACAGTCTCTTCGTTCCGTTAAAAACACGTTTTGTTTGTTTTAACAGAGAAGGCCTTCCCTTTTGGCCTGTGGGCTAGTATAGGTTTTTCTTCATAAATTCCACCTTTAATCTTTGCCCAGGAGTGATAGCCTGCATAACGAGCGTTATTTTTTCGCGTTTTTCAGGCGAGCGAAGGCAAGCGCGAAGCGAGCGAGGAGCGCCTTCCACCGTCGCATATGTCTGGCTCTTCTCGCTTACTTCCCGCTTGCCTTCGCTCGCCTAAAAAATAACGAAAAAATATCACCTGTTATGCAGGCTACAGGAGTAAAGGAGATTGAGCCGATTTTGCTGGTATCTAGGAGACCCAGGAATAGCATACTGTACTGTTTTGTTGCTATCAGCCGCTCGGCCGAGTATAAACCTAACATTTTCTTGCAAGGTGTTTCATTCCAGCGTTTTTCTTCGTAAAACAGATCCACAGAGCTCAAATTATTTGAAAAATCGCAGGGGAAACGCTTTCCCTGACTACGATCGTTTTTGTCCGCCATTTTGGAAATGAGATTCCGCTGACAATTAATCACGGGCGCGAAATGTCCACTATTTCTGGCAATGGTTTGTTTTAACAGAGAAGGCCTTCCCTTTTGGCCTGTGGGCTAGTATAGTTTTTTCTTCATAAATTCCACCTTTAATCTTTACCCAGGAGTGATAGCCTGCATAACGAGCGTTATTTTTCGCGTTTTTCAGGCGAGCGAAGGCAAGCGCGAAGTGAGCGAGGAGCGCCTTCCACCGTCGCATGTGTCTGGCTCTTCTCGCTTGCTTCCCGCTTGCCTTCGCTCGCCTAAAAAATAACGAAAAAATATCACCTGTTATGCAGGCTACAGGAGTAAAGGAGATTGAGCCGATTTTGCTGGTATCTAGGAGACCCAGGAATAGCATACATGACAGAGGAGAGTTTGGGCATGACATTGCTGCCAAGGGTTTGAAACCTTGAAGACTTGCCGACGAAGAAAAACTGCTAATATACCTCAGGTACGGGACAATCCCCACCTAACCACCCCCCTTCCGAATCCGACATTAACACTAAATCCTCACGTTGGGACAAATTGTTGGCTAAGGGGAGAGGTAGGTAGGTTTGCAGATAGAAATCGTTCCTCAAGATGTGAATCTTCCAATGTAATAACTACCTTTTTTGATGATTCTTTTTGCAGAAAACTGGATCGATAAAAACTCAGTCACATCAGAACTCAAATTTAAAAATACTCATTACTGACAAAGTATAGCAAGTCTGGCAAACCGGGGCAATGATCAGTTAAGAAACACTTACATCACGCATGACCAGTCAGATGAGATAGCCAACGCAATCGACATATTAAAACATCTTAATCTCATCAGATCAAACAGACATAAAAAACGGCGTTCTCACTGAATTTCCAATTTTAAAAAAGGGCTTTTGAAAAGATGCATTTTTAGTAAATATTGAACAAAAAGGCAAGGCTGCACAGCCTTTCTTCTTTAGGGTCTTACATTGTATGTCAATTCTAACATGACTCTTACATTGTGTGTAAGGCCCTGATGAAGGAAGGCCGTGACTTTCGAAATATTGGTAACAAAAAGCATATATTGCCGACTGTAAAATCAGCCTTGCTTTTTTGTTCAATATGTACTAAAAATGCATCTCTTCAAAGCGCTTTTCTTAAATTAGTTCTTATGATCGATATTTCACCTGATTAGATCCATTATTATAGGATTCGGCCCTTCCTTTTTGTAACGTTGGTCCCTGCTTCCAAAATTGAACCTTTAGTAAACGTTTACATCGGATACGTATGGACAGCTGGCCGATCCGAAAGAGGAAATTGCCATTTTCAAAACGTGCATAATAGGTGGACGTTTGGAAGGACATCACTCAAAATCAATCCTTATACCTAGAAGTACCAATACTTCATGTTTCTCACACTTATCTGTATACTAAAAAGAGCGACAAACTTTTCAGTAATTTCTATTTTTTTTTGTCTAAAACAGAGTTGTAGATGCAACCTGTATGTTTTGGGTGTATAAAAGTGAAATTAGCGAATAGAAGAAGAAGAAAACTGGTTAATTATCTCTAACAATTTTAAGGTTACTCGAAATTTTCTTTTTTCGGTCTAAAGATTCTTATTTGTCCTTGCTACGGTCTAAACTTTTCTCTACTCATTAGTCATGCAAGAGCACAACAACCTGAGCTTTTTCACATCTTCACTTATGCGCACAATATTCGTAGCATTATTGCAACAAAATGAAGTATAACTTTCTTAGTAAGAAACGTGAAAGAAATTCCGGTATTTTTAATCAGTGTTTGACTCAAACTAAGAAATAACTTCCAGGTATCTTTTTCGTTCAAACCATGCCTCAGAGTTTAAGCACTTACAAACGAACACAGATATCGGGGTGAAATATATAAAAAGAACACCTAAAACTGCAGAAAATCACTTACGAATTACAGAAAAGCCCTAGTGGAGCTACGGTGGGATTACACCCTGGCATCGGTTAATCAAAGAAATAAATCTCTATCCAGCGGATAAGTACAGCTAAACTCCATATTACGGACACCCGCTTGATACGGACACCTTATTATTAGCGACAGTTTGCTTTATTATTTGTCCTTTAGGAAAGAAAGCCTCTACATTTTCTCTAAATTTAACCTTCGAAATACGGACACCTACTTTCTATGCTCCCCCCCCCCCCACTCCTAGCCTTAGTATTAGTGAAACCATATGCCGTACTCATTGGATAAAGATTTAAACTGTGGATAGCGTATCCACCCTCGTTTAAACAACCGACTGAGGCCAGATTAAAACCCGAGTGAATAACAACGGTGGCTTTTTTGCATGAAGATGTGACTTACATTTTGTGGGGTGATCTTTCCTTAAAATAGACGGTCTTGGCCTTTTTTCACCAATTCGTAGTTTAAGTTAATAGCTTTTAACAAAAAAAGGGAAAACCATTGAAATTACGTGACCCGCTACCCCATTCAAACACCGAATGATAAGACAACTCATAGGCGGACGATCAAATTTAATTCATTTTTTTTAATACCTAAGTACAAATTGTGACTGAGAAATATATGAATCAACTCGCATAATATTTCCACCATGAAATGAAGCGTGATGAGTAGAAATATTTTAAAACCATCTTAAGTCAAGGGAGTTCATAGCAAAATATTTCTCGACTACTTTTTCTTCGTAAAATCAATCAATAAAAGTACAAGATATTACTCCTCTTCAAAATTATAGAAATGGAAACAGATCCTAAATCACTGGATTTAGCTAAGGATCGTTTCGAAATGAAAACGTGACCCAGAAAAAAAGACAAAAAAAAAGCTGTAATTTTTTTCTTTAGATCGCAGCAGGTCAGTGCTTGTGCTAGTTCTTTTTCACCCGGCGCAAAAGTAATTACTGCTATCTACCAGGCATGATCTCGTTGTTTGCTATCTAGTATTGACTTAAATTCAACCATTGCGGAGTGTTTCCGAATTACATCAATTTGACTCTTTCTACGTTTCTCTAGTCTGCCTAGGCATCAGCAATAAAAACGACAACAGAAATAAGATCCGTGTTAACCAATATTCTGAGGAGGGAGTTTATATTGGCATGCAGCGAAAAAGATCGCTTTCTATGCAATATTCTTTCAATATCTCAGCTAAGTAAATTCAAACAAAATTAAAGATATGCAAAGGAGCGTTGTATGCTCAATTGCAAACAGTCCAACCTTGCTACTTTCATAATTATTACTATCGCATCGCCTTGCGTCGAAAAATCGCTGTAATTGTAAATCGCAGTAGATTAAATCAGTCATTCGTAGTACCGTAATAGCATTTGAATAACCTCTTTGCAAAGCAATGAATTAAGAAGGGGGCTTCAAAATAATACCTGTCTTCAAGTCACACGACAAATTATTCCTCGATCGAAGTTCTCTTTGTAGTTACCGTCACAAAGGTCCCAGTTTCGCTCTGGGAGGATTGTCTTTTCGCTCGAACATTCAATCTGATAGGTCCACAAGGTAACGATCCTCTCGCTAGATGCGCTCTCTGAGTCCCAAGAAACAATTCCAATAATGAGCGCCGAAATCGTCTTTGCAACAGTCCATAAATAAACGGATCAATAGCACTCTTTAAAAAAGCAATCCACCTTAAGGTAATTGTTGATGCATGGGACAGCGATATTTCTTTACTGCCCAGTTCAAGAATTCGAAGAGTTGTGTACGGTGCGAGACAACAAAGAAAGGCTCCGATAACGAATAAGATTTTTCTCGCGGCCTTAAACTCGCGCTGCCTACTTGTTTCGGTGGCCATGGGTCCACGAACAGGCGCGAAGTGAACTGCAGTGATGACCGCGTGTCCTATTCGGCGGGAATGCAGCTTAGCGACATTGAAAATTCGATAGTAAGTTACTAACATGACCAAAAGAGACAATCCGGCGTTCGCAGCGTACATAGCCGCTGTAAATACCCGGTAGTTTAACTGGTGAAGATCAGAAGGAAATGTGCAAAAGAAATAACGCGGGTTAAACTCGTACCAGCCAAACCCGATCGGTACCAAAGAAAATACGATAGACTGTAGCCATACAAGTGATATCATCACAAGCGCGCATTGTACCGTCATTTTGGCCCTGTATTGAAGAGGTTTGCATACTGCGATGTAGCGATCCGCGGAAATTGTCGCCAGGGTCAAAACAGCCGCAAGTCCCAATACCATATTCCAAAATGCACTTGTTTGACACCAGAATCGACCAAATGGCCATTCATCAGCCAAAACTGCCCCAAATGAATAAGGCATGGCGAAAACAGCAATCAAAAAGTCGCAGATGGCTAGATTGACGATGAAAACGCTAGATATATGTCTTCGCAGTTCTTTGCTCCTGTATACGACTAAACACACCAGGAAATTCATTACCAGGGCTGCTAGAGTCATGAAAAACAATGACAAAGCGAAGCCAAAAACTTCCACTTTGGATAGAAAACCCATTAATGTAAGCCTTGGGATTAAACTGTTTCTATTTTCCGCAGAAAAACTTTTTTCTTTTCCGCCCGTTTTGGACAGATGTAGCAAGATACAGCGGGTGAACGATCTAATTAAAGTCGATTTTCCAATGTTTCGGCAGCTGCCTAATGAATCTTGGAAAACGTTTAATCGGTGCAATTTCGTCGAATCTTTAATGGTACCAACAGTTCTCTTATCTGGATTAACTTGAGATCCTTTGAAGAAAAGCTGTTGTCGAAAGCCAACGATTTAGTAGCGTTCAATTGGGAATCGCTTGACAAAACATTGCCGTTGTCCATTCAGATACGCGTGTATTCGGCAATCAATTGAAGGCGTCGATGAAAGTACCTTTCAATTCCCACATTACATTTCCATTTTGCCTCTGTACACATTAGATAAGTCCTTCCATTGGATGGCAAGAAAATGCGACATATAAATAGGTCAACGTGCTAGCAAGAAGTTTAGAAATTGTCCTTTTTAATTAGCAAAGACCCTAAACTATAGGCCCAGAGTTAAGCAACATAAAATTTGCATAATAATGACTTCTACAGGACAGGGTATATTTACAACTTGGCGTTCGTTAAGAAGAAAAATCTTTTTTATCACCATAGTGTCAATTCATCAAAACATATGAAATAGGCAAAATCTAACATTCATCATTTTTTAATTTTTTTTCTTTTATGATTATTTTGACGTTTATTTCAAGCGTATGTCATGGTCAGCAAAAATCTCAGACAGCTTTTGGAGTCATGAAATTTATGACAATCTCGAACTACAACTGATATTAGAATGCGAAGGCTGTTAAATAATGCATGCTTTATCTAACTTTCGTAAATCCATTATCTCCCAGCTTGGAATATTAATAAAAAACTAACGAAGAAAAACAAGTTTTTATATAAAATTGGTACAGCAGTGAACTTTGTCGTCACATTTTCAACGTTCGTATTTGAGCTGTAAAAATTGGAAAGCGTCGATCGAAAACAAAATAATTCGATAAAAGAACTGTTCGGGTGTTTGCAATTGGTTAGATTTACCAAGAATATGACACGGACAAACAGCAAGAAACAAAATATAATTTTGGGTCTTTAAAGAAGAATAGATAAAATGCAAAAAAAGTCATTTTGGTACTTTGGTCATATTTCGCGTCAAAGCCTTTCAGTGGAAAAAACTTAAACACCCAAATTAAAAGCGACCGTTGCTTTTCCGAAGATTCTATTTATTAGCCTACGCTGAATTAAACACGTAGGTATTATGAAACTCGAGGTGACATTTTCGTTGGTAGTTAACGTTTTAGTTCTTAAAACAAAAAACAAAAAACGGATTTTCTTGTTAGTGAGTATAACTGCTATTGTACCACGACAGGATTCACTAGTGGAACACGATTTCTGCTTTTTATTTTGGGCTGACGATCCAGTCAAATTTAAATGTATACTTTGTAATTTTTCAAAGTTTAACTTTTGCCAGCTGTTAGCTTTCACATGCAAATTTGGTGCAAATTCTTCAGACATGTTTGTTACCGTTTAAAAAAAGACTGTTAGAAAGGAATTATATTTTTGAAGGGCGGGAATAAAGTTTTTGTTATTACAACAAAAAAATACTTCAAACATGTTCTGGTTAAATCATCTAGGGAAAGTGAATATATTTCTGTTTATGAGGCGTACGTGTTCAAATTTTAAGTAAATTTATTACTTTTCATTTAGAACGGTAAATATTGTCTTTATAGCTAAATGAACGTCTAAATTCGTGGTTGAATAAAACTCTTAATAATGATATCTGCCTATCTAGAATTAAATTGACGGCAGATTTTCATTTCGTTCCGGAGACGCACGAACGCTAAAACGTCTCACTGATAAAAAGCCAAGTTCAGCCAAGTCAAAAATCGTTTCTCACTCTGACTGGCACATTTCTATTGCAATCAATTTTAGTGGACAGCTTTGTTTAGTGTCATCTTGTCAAGTGGTAGGAAAAAATTAATACTCTCTAAGTATTCAAGGATTCAGTAATATATGATTGTTAGAAATTTTTTCCCAAGCGGCGAGGAGGGAGAAAAGCTAGCACTTCTGTCGCAGTCGATTTTTTTAGAACACTTTTTCGTGTCTTTGAGTATCAATTTTCAGGGACCCAGGCGTCTGTTTGATGGCCTCAAGCAGTTTCTGGTATGCATCATTAAAGATACAAAAGTATCCCTTGTTCGTCTCGCGCGCCGTCTTCTCGAATTTTAAAACCAAGCCAAGCCCGTCAATTACATCATTGTGATAGATGACATTGATAGCAGAAATTGGTAGATCGATTGAAAATAATTGACAAATATTAAAAATACAACTGTTACATGAAAGATCGAAGGGTTTCTGAACGTTCTCTGTTTCACAATTACAGTTAATCACTATACCCATTACTAAATAGACTGATAAAAACAAACAATCTCTTTTTGCACCACCTGGAACATCGCAGACGGGTTTAAATTTTAAGTTACGATTTTCTTTTTTTTAACATTCACTTCGATTTCCCCATTGCGTTTACTTCAGAAGTTTTGTCAGTTTTCACTACTGATCTGTCCTTGTTATTTGTCGTTCCTTGTTTAAGTTTTACATCATTTATTTGTACCTGCTCTATTAATAATTTAAAAGCTCACATTATTCTTATGTAATTTGTCTTTATCGTTCCCAACTGTCTCGTTTCCAGGCGCCAAAAAGCGTGGAAAAGAAAGAACGGAAAACGCCGCCACGTAAGAAACTTTTGGGGTTGAATTGTTGTCCGTTCAAAAGTACAGTCAAACCCCGTATTATAGGCACCCGCTTAATACGGACACCTAACTATTACGGACAGTTTGCTCTGTCCCTCGGGAAAGAAAGCCCTTACACCCGCTTAATACGGACACCTCACTATTACGGACAGTTTGCTTTGTGCCTCGGGAAAGAAAGGCCTTACACCCGCTTAATACGGACACCTAAGTATTACAGACAGTTTGCTCTGTCCCTCGGGAAAGAAAGCCCTTACACCCGCTTAATACGGACACCTCACTATTACGGACAGTTTGCTTTGTGCCTCGGGAAAGAAAGCCCTAACATTTTCTCTAAATTCAACCCGCTTAATACAGACACCCCATTAATTTGGTCACTTTCTATGGCCCCCCGGGTTTGACTGTATAAACAGGGGCACCCAACGTCAATTTTCGGAAAATATCTGTTCAGAAAACGATTGGATATCTAGAATTTTCGGAACATTTATTGTAAAATTTCTTGCTTGCTTGCCTCTCCTAGGATTTTCGAACATCTAAGAAATGGTATCATTGCCCATTTTTAACGGATTTTAACCCTAAAAAGGTGACCTTAAATTTTCGGGGGCCTTTTTTCTGGCTGAAATTTTCGGAAAGGTAAGTTTTGTCCCTATAATTTTCGGATCACTTGACTTTCAGCTAGTGAATCCGAACAGATAAAAAATTTTTAGAGGATAAAAATATGCCTATATCTACCGTTTAAATACTAAAATATGTTCAACAATGCTTTGTTTAAGTGGTTTTGAACTATTATTCTCGTTGGGTGCCCCTGTATAATCTGTAAGTACCACATGCCAATTACGCACTAAAAATTCCACAATTTTTATTTATATTTGTCAAGAATAGAGAGATTGGCAATGATATGTAGCTGTACGATGGCGGGAAAAGGGAAAATAAGCTGGACTGTTAAACTTTACTTTGCAAAAGTGTGTCTGCTATTCCTTCGTCTAGAGAGATGAAAAGGTTCTGCTCAAATGATCAAACTTATCCTTCAAAAGAAATTAATAATACTCAAAGGAAGATGGCTAATGGGCAGTAACTTCAAACCATTGAGCTTGTCTCCTTCATTCTTTCTTCATCAGTAAACTTAATAAGGAGGACGTAAAAAACACATGCTACTCTTTAAAAAAATTTAGGTGGGTTTTAAAATATCCTTGGGGAAGTTTTTCCTGTGGTGTGGTCTACCTTTATCTCTGTTGTCACTTCACTCAATACCCATATAATACAGTAAGCTCATAAATCGACTGATACATGTAGCAGCAGCCAGTGTTGCCATTGTATGCTGACATCAGAGATTACTGCGTAAATAATACAATGTAAAGAGAAAACACACTGTAGTCCTATCAGCTAGAACATTGGATTAAATTAAATTACAAAATGACCTTTCCAGTTAAATATATCAATGATTGATAGGGTATTCAGTATAAATGTAGAACACTATCTCCAATTGGTATGCAGTGAATGTAGAGTCATAAAAAATGGAATCATCTACAAAGTTTGCTTTACCCTGAATGTTCCTTATTGAACTCCTTGAAGAGTTACTACAATTCGCCTTGATCCTGCATGATTCCGATGTTCACAAAGCCAGATTCCCTGCCAGGTTCCAAGATTTAACTTTCCATTTGTGATTGGGATAGTCACACTGGGGCCCACGAGTGCAGTCTTGACATGTGCTGTTAAAATACAATCATAATACAAAGTCATAGTCGATAGATAAGATAATAAAAAGGAGACACCACTACTTTCCTCATACACTTTAACTAACCAAAATGTAATGGTCTCTTTTAAGGATTTAATTTTTTGTTGATAAGCATCCTACACCTGCCAACTGTTTCTAAGTCAAATTTTATGTGATTTTCGTATCCATGATATTATAACCAAATTTCTGAAAAAACTCAATGACTTCTAGTGGCAATCACTTTCCAACAACATCTTAACAAAACAAAGATTTTTCAATGATTTGTGGTGAAAAGCAAAAAGCCTTGGCCCCATCATTTTTAGGTTACACATATCTTGCTTAGATTATCGAGGTTAGTAAACATGAGATCTTGCCAAGATCAAGTCTTTCAGGGACTATTTTGGGTGCAAGTTAAATTGACGAGAATTAAGAGTTAAGCACATGAAACTGTCATCAGTGCTGTCAACTCTCCTGGATAATCCGGGAGTCTCCAGATTTTGAACCATTTGTCCCGGTCTCTAGAGTAGAGTCTGAAATCTCCTGGATAATCGCCAAAGTCTGCCATTTCTTGTAGATTTGACTTTCTGACAATAAAATTTCAGATATTTTGTGTTGTTTGAGTTATTATTTTTACTGTTAATATCAAATGTTTCCTCACAAACTCCGGTATACCATTGTAATATAAGCAACAATATGTGGGAATTAAACCAATCAGATCAAATGTTACAATTCCAACAACATCTTTTTCGCGCATTTTTTGCATGAATGACGTCTTGTGCCATGCATTATGACATCATCTATCATCCCTTCCCTATCAATTCTCAACATTTGAAGATGTGCTGGGTTGACAAGTCCTGTGTCATGTATATGTGATTGACATTTTTGATCTGCAAGAATGTCACATACATGCATTTATAGGCTCTCTGCCACTTTCATAGTGGAGACCCTTGACCCCTCCCCCCCCCTTCCTTCTATGAAAAATTTCTGATTGGTTCACCTTTGATTTGCAAGTATTACTTACACTAAACTTTTAGCCTTGAATCATTTTTTAGGGATAACACAACAAAAAAGAAAGAAATAGTCTACAGATTTTTAACCTGGCATATCATCAGGCCCCTCTATAGTATGCTTGTATGGGGGCCCTTGCTCCGGAGCCAGACGATTTAACATCATCTCCATATCGTGGCGCACAGAAGAATCCCAGCATTCATTCACACATATGCTTGCCGAGGTGTGTTGCAATAATAAATGAGCCAGGCCAACCTTGTATTTCTTGAGTTCTGGTATTTTTTCTACTTCGTCCGTAATAACATGAACTCCGCGAGATTTAGGCTTTACATTCAGCACTGTCTGATACCAGACCGTAGGGCCGGCGGTCGCCATGTTGGATATTACAATGGCGCGGTTACATAGCTTTTGAAGACAGTCGCTCCATGAAAAAATAAACGACCTTTGAAGCCACCAAAAACCTGAGTATCTGATCATTTGAAGTTGATACGTGACTTATCATGCAAATTTATCTTTCAGATTGGATAATTTGACGACAACATCGCTTAAAACTCTAACAGGAGAGGGACTGGAGAGGGACAGGAGAGGTCTATTTCCGGTTGTAGCGACCGCTGGACGGAACTATTTATTTGGCGGTAAATTGTCGGTAGTCACTTGAAGGGATAGACGAGAAGGCCCTTCCTCGATCCTGAGACTGGGACCGAGTTATACGATCGCCGAGTTTAATCGCCGAGTAAATCTTCGTTTCTGCATCGATCACCGCATCGCAATGGCCAAAAAATGGCGCGTAAAGGAGTCAGAATGAATACTCGCGGGCGTATTCAAAAAGATGCGATGTGATTTATTTTGTTTCTTGTTTTTTTCATCTAAAATATACTTAACATTGACCTATTCGTACTTCGAAAAATATTACTGGCTCCCGCCACTGATATTAAACGGAAAAAGGCGAAAAAATACTTGGGGGGATTTGAGACTTATGACAAGGTGCTGTTGAAATAAACGAATATACCCTCTCAAAGCCAAAAATGGAAATTATTTTTGTCTTCCTCATCTCTAAGCAGACTAGGGTTCCCTGACCTATCCCTACAAGGGATAGACGACAAGTACCTCTTCGGGATTGGACGGTCGGTCCTATACTCTGTGAAACATTAACCAAACGCGTCCGAAAGAGCGGGAAAAATAAAATCCAAACAAGAGTAGGCGTACTGCAGTAGCTGTTTAGGGACTTGTCAGAAATTAGCAGGGGGGGAAGGGTGGGTGGAAATTTTAAATTTGGGTTCGGAAATGAGGTGACCTATCCCTGCAATGGAAGTGAAATTTGCTAACCCTCCCCTTGACCTTGGCTTAAAATATCATGACCCTCCCCCTCTTGTATAAATTATAAAATCTAGGGCTTGCAATACACTAGGGTGAGTCAGAAGGTATTATGAAAGCTCAAAATATATTTCTAATCTGTTCTTTGTAATGCCATATACATAGATTTTAGATGACAGCATTAAGAATCCCACTCTGATTCTGACAGCTGATCACTCGACTCTCCTATTTCTCCCAAGTTTTTTTTACAAAATAAAGATCTTCTTTTTTCTTCTGTGGGTGAACCTCTACATGATCAGGGACACATATTTGCATGACCCTCCCCCTTTTAACGGCCCATTTTTCATGACTCCTCCCTTTTCTGCAGTCTCAAAAAGTTGTGACCCTCCCTCTGTTTCCACCCCCCCTGCTAATTCAGGGGCGGATCTAGGGGGAGGGTGCAGGGGGTGCGCATCCCCCCCCGAGATGACCTGCGGTTTTCTAATACAACTGGTATTCTGCAAAAAAAAAACTATGAGGTTTATTGTTGTTGAAGTATAGCAAGAGACGAGTGCACCCCCTCCTAAAAAAAAATCCTGGATCTGCTCCTGTAATTTCTGACTAGTCCCTTAGACATGTCTTCGGAAAACAGACCTGGAAGTTTTTTGTTCGTACCAGATGTAAAATCAGCTGAAAAGGTGCTCCACAAGTTTTGTTATGTATTACAACAACAGTTTAGGCAAAGGTAAGCTTAAATGTACGGTCAGTGTATTCTGTGACCTTACTAATTATTGGTTTGTGTACACCAAAATGGAATATCCGGATGCAGAATATTGCATGTGGCACAGAAGAACCCTTTTTT